GAGAGAAGAGATATCTCGACGTCGTCAGCTGTGCCGTAGCTGCGCGGGGCTGCCGCCTCTCGATGACGTGGCGTGCGATAGCAAAGATTGTCCCGTCTTCTACTCTTGGGTCAAGCAGGCTACCAGACTGGCTGCGAGAGGAGCGTGCTTGAGCCGGTGATCGAGGAGCTCGGCGCCGAGGCTGCCAGGGCGGCTTTGGAGTGGTAGGATGTTTTTCGATAGGCGCGGGCCTTTTTTTTTTTTGTTTTTGGATACATTGGGAAGGTCCCTTGATTTTGTTTGCATAGCGAAGCGAAGATGGGGTTTATGCAGGAGTTGTGATCATGAAACGGTGCGAAGTCAACGGTAGAACAATTCCACCCCGTAACGTGCTTTCACGGCGAGCGTGTACGACAGTCGTGTCAAAAAAGTCCGAGGTTGTGTCTCATGCTGTAAATCGTATTCGACATTCGTCCATTCATCCCCACCCCAAGCTATGATAAATAAAATCAAACAATACCATGGCTACAGGATGTGCACCTAGACGCCCGGTCCTGACTGGCATGGAGCTCTCGTCCCTAACTCAATGTTGAAACAAAATGATCCCTGAAGCCTCGATCCCATATTAACTCCTCAACTCAGCCGGCACCGCCGGTGCAGTTAGATCTCGTTTCGTTTCAGCAAGCGGCGCCTCGGGTTCGCCGCCTTCCTCCTCGGTATTGTCCAGCCATCCGGAAAAGTCATCGTCATCATCTAGTAGTACTTGAGCCGGCCGCGCCTCAATAGGACTGTTGGCCTTGCGGCTGGCCGAATGGGTCAATCCAGCGGTTGATCTCTGCTTCACCATCGGCGTAGCGTGGTCGTCTTCGTCTGGTGCCATGCGTGGTTTGCCCAAGGAAGATGCTGTTTCCTGTACCCCTGCTTCCCAAGCTGGCGCACGACTGGTGTAGTCTGTCATCTCCTCGTTCAAGGGGGTGGAGGGTTCTGACTCCATCGGCGCCGCGACGACGAATAGGTCATTGTTGCCCGTCTCCTCTCGTATCTCTCTGTGTCTTCGCGACGGCATGGGAGGTTTCCGTTCGCCCGCGCTGTTGATGCTGTCATCTGAATGCGGGCGATCGGGCAGTGATGGTGCGGGCTCCGGTTTTCGTTTCGACGGCACGGGTATCGGGGTCACCTTTTGCGTCCTGTCAGGAGGAGGGAGCGGGGTCCCGGGCGGCGGCAGCGGCCTGCCCCGACCCATTGGTTTGTTGAGATCTAACGGGGGCTCCGCTTCCCCTGAGATGCCATTCCTTGCATCTTTGTGCCTTTGTATCGCGTTCCAGCCCCATTGCCTTGCCTGTGTGGCCGCGTTCGCGACGGCGGCGAGCGTGACCCGCTTCTGATGTTGTTCTTCGCCCTGAGAGCTGCTGTTTGCGGTATCCGACGCAGTATCGCGGCGGAAGAGGCCTGTCAGGGAGCCAGGGTTGCTCCGCAATGAGCCGGCGTTGCTCCTGAGAGACCCAGCATTGCTCTTCACGGATCCCTTGAGCGAAGACGCGAAAGATGCAGCTGAGCTGTTGGGGTCATCGGCAGGCGCAGACTCCAAAGAGGAGGCGGTGCTACGACGACCAGCTGCCACAGGCGTCTTCTCTGTCTCTTTCTCGTTGTCGGTGTCCTCGCGTGAAGACGGGGACGAGGGGTCGGTGTCCTTGGCCAAGGATGCAGGACGCGCTGGTGAAGCTGTGGGTGTCTGCCCCGTTGAGCCCATGGAACGGGCCGACAGGGCTGCCATCATGGCCGAGGCGTTATCAGAAGGCGGCGACGACGGCTTAAACACATCAGCGTGGGCTGTGTCGGTGCCGACGATAGGGTCTGACGGGCTCGACATCGAGTTGGACCTCAAAGTCTTGGGCCGTGAGCTGGTAGGACTGTTAGGCTCAATGCCCGTCGACACACCAGCTGCCGAGGGTCTCAATGTCTTTCCTGCCAGCTTACGGCCGAGCAGGCCTGTCGGTGGCACGTTGTCCGATAGGGGAGCACTGTGGCTCTTCTCGACAGGCTTCAGGTCGGCCGTGTCAACATCGCCAGTTTCTTCCAAACGATTGACCTTGTCCACATCTCCCTCTTGTGCCAGGTTTGTCTCCACACTATGTGAGACGACAACGGCGTCATCACCTTGCCAGATGCCTCCTCGCCACTTTTTATGTTCCGTATTGAAAAATGGGACATCGTCCCAATATGGTTGGACGAGCGTTTCGGCGATGACCTCCTTCATGCGGTGCTCAATCTGCCGCAGAATGAGGGTGTACGTGATCTGTCTTGAGCTGACAATGGGCTCAATGGTCATCTCCATCTTGGGCATAGTCTGAAAGGAGAACCAGACGCGGTTGCTCGGCGGCGGCTTGATCTTGAAGAAGACGTGGCCGTCAAGCTTGTGTAGCACGACAGCCAGGACGAGATCGACCTCGCGCACCTTGAAGCGGGAGCCCAAGTCGAGACGAGCAGTGGCAGCCACTTCCATGCGAAAGTTGCCGTTGTATTTCACGTCGGCCTCCATGCCACATTCTCCCTCGACGCTGAGATCCTTGTGTCGCGGATTCAGCAGCACGGGCGCCGAATCACCCGTATCAATTTTGCGAATGACTATGTTGGTCAGGAAGGAGGGTCGTTTAACTCGGGCTATCTTCTTGGTGAGCCTCTCGCGTATCATATGCTCCAAGTCGGCCGTCTTGTAGAGGCCGAGGAAGACACGCCCAATCATGGCGTTGAGCCAGCGTGTTTGTTGGTGGTCTTCTGAAGAATGCAGCTTTTGTACCAAGGTGATGATGTTCTTGACGTCAAACTGCTGAGGCTTGGGGGCCTTCTTGTCCACGTCCATCTCGGAGTATTGTTCCTGGTGTCGAAGGAGAGCAAAGTAAAAGTCCTCCTTGGCCGAGCCGTCTTCGGAGAAGAGATAGAAGGGCTTCGATAACTGGCCGTCGGCTCCGACATCATCCTTCCGACGTGACAGGCACAGAGCGTTCCTCTTGATGAACAGCTCGCCCTCTGGCGTGACGTCTCCTCCCGAGTATATGCTGATGGTATGGTGGGCCAGCGAGACGACATGGCGCACTTCGATCTGCTCCTCGTCGTCGAACAACATGATGTGGCCGTGCCTGTGGTTGCACAACAGGGTCAGCTACCGAGGCACCCGACAGTAAAAAAGACAAGTGCGTGCGTGTGAGAGAGGATGGTCAGGGCTTGGGGCCTGGGGAAGGAATAGACGGACCTCAGCACGACGTAGAAGACATTGCCGGCATTCTTGGGTCGTTGGTTCGCGGCGGCCTTGGTCTCGAGCGGTCCAGGTCCTTGCTTCCTGTCAAAGATGCTGCGATACATGGCCTGGTAGACGCTCTGGCTGGGGGCGGCCACGGTGGCGGATCCGACGGGGGTGGCCCGCTCGATGGGGCGGGCGTTGATGCCCATGGGCGTGTACTCTCGACACACGGCAAAGTAGCCAGAGGCTGCCTCGTTGTCCTGCGTCGGGCGGCTCTTGGGAGCATCCTCAGCCTCGGCCTTGGCCTTGTGCGCCGTCCTCGCCCCTTCGAGGCCGGCCAGGTCGTCGTCAGGCTGGACGATGGCGTTGGGTTCATGACGGTCAGCGTCGACATCTTGTCGGTAGGGCAGGGTGTAGTGGGCGTGTGCAAGGACGGCGACGACGACGAGAGGGAGGAATGTCAGGCCGCCGAAAATGTAGGCGAACAAGAAGCCGGTGAAGCTGCCCATGGTTCCTTCGGACCTAGGGCCAGTGTCGATGACGGTACGCGAAGGAGGGCGCTAGCAACTGGTTGGGAGGCCAGGTCGTCGAGGGGCCGACGAGGGCATCTGTACGTGAAGCAGTGCCAGATGTAATACAATCCTAA